TTTGATAACGTTTTTCAGTAGATGGAATGAACGTGGTTTTTAATTAGAAGGACAAGTTTGAAAGAAAAAAAACTTGTTTTTTCTATATAAAGCTTTTATCTTAAAAGCTTACTGAATAAACCACTTTTTAATTACAAAAGCCGTTTCCAACATTTTTTTATGTATTTTGGAAACAATTATTATGTATTAAATATAGTTTTAAAATTAATAAATATGATTATTTATAATAATTTGGAAAAATTATTGTTGATTAATTTGCATAAACCATGGACTTTTACTGTAATTGGAAAAAAAATATCGTTGATTAATTATTTTTTATAATTTTATAAGTTATTATAATTTTTAATTTTTTGTGATTTTTATTAATGTAGCTTTTTAGTTAATTATGACCTCTATTCTTGTAATTTTTAATTATTGTCTTCAATTATAATAAGTAATTTTCATAATTTTATTGTTTGATTTTTTATCATATAAACCATGGTCTTATCTAGGGGTGCTCACGGTCCGGGTTGATCGGTTTGGAGCCGTTTTAACAACCCAACCCAATGTTGGCGGTTGAAAATTTTTAACCTAACCCAACCCAAACAAAAGTTCAACCCAACCCAACCCAACCCGTTCGGGTTGATCGGGTTGTGTTTAAACAATGTAAAATCACATAAAAATAAAGGAAAATTTTCTTTGAAATACGACCGACCATTCAAGATAATATGCAAGTTCATCAAATATTTAGATATTACAATAAAAATGTTTAAACCAAATGATAATACATCAATCAACAACAATAGTTCTTGACGTTGAGGTTGGTCATGTCATGATTGTCATCTACAATTCAAAACTAAAGTTAATGTCGGGTTCATCGGGTTGGTCGGGTTTTTTTGGGCATGACCCGATTCCAACCCAATAAGGCTGGGTTGACTAATTTTTTTATCGATCATGCATCGGGTTACCTCGGGTTAGTTTTCTTTTTTTAAATTCGAGTTGGGTTGGTCGGGTTCATCGGGTTCATCGGGTTTTTGAGCACCCCTAGTCTTATCCATGATGGTGAAGAATTGCGTGAAAACATAGAGTTAAAGTGAGAAGCGTAAGAAGGAATCCAGATATTGATCACTTTTAATCTCAAACTCATTTTTGAATCGCGTTTAATACGGGGATTGATCTGATGCATCTAATCCTAATGTGCATTCAAGGATGGAGATCATTTCTCATCCTTCTCACCCTTCTCACCTTAACTCTCCATCTGACGTAATCCAACTCTGTATATGATTGAGGTAAAAAGTTTATAAAATGTGTACGAAAGAGTTTCAAGACTAGTGGGTGTTTTCAGATTGCTTATTTGAAACGACTTATACTTTTCTACAAAAACACTTATCAACTTATTATAAGTCAGAAGAGTTTAACTTCTTCAAAAACTCTTGATTACCGATTTGACACCAATATAAGTTGTTTATCCAAACACTAAAAAATGCTTATTACCGATGTCACACCGAAATAAGTCAATAAGTTATTTTTACAAGCAATCTCAAACACCGTCTAGGAGTGTTATTGCAATATAAATAGTTTCTCTCTCCTACCTAATAATAGTTCACAATCACAAATCATAATTTTTTGTTCCAAAAGTTATGCCATAGTGTATGCTAAAATAGAGAAAAGAAGACTGAGAAGATAAAAATCTGCAAATTTGGATAAATCTTTAAAATATCATATTGAAGAGACAAAAATAATATTTAATTCATTCTTTCTGGGGACATTTTAAATATTTAGGAGAGAGAAATAATATTTTATTAAATGTATTAAATATTTTAATAATATAATTAATGATAAAATTGTTGTAAAATAGAATAGCCGTTGGAGTTGAATGTAATTTTTTTTAATGATTTGAACTTTTAATATTCTATTTAAAAATCCTATAACATAGCTTTTAGAGATGCTCTAATATCCGATTCCATCATATACAATATATCGTAAATATAAGTATTCACACTGCATTTAAAAAATATAACATTTATTTTTTATGAAAAATAATTTATTTGATTGAAGTATAAACATGAATAAGTTAAAGGAGCTTGCAAATAAATTATAAATACCATGAAAAAAATGGTTTATATTTTAAACCCAAAGCGTCTATAAAATAACAAAAATTAAAAAGTAAAATTAAAAAGAAGATAATATAATATATATATATATATATATATATAAATTATAAAATTAAAATGAAGATAACATGAATATTTCAATTGATTGAGTCACATTGGTTATACAAAAAGACATGATTGTATTTAAAATATAATATATATATATATATATATATATATATATATATATAGAGCCAAGATCAAATGCTAACCAACCCTTTCATGTTAACCTTATTAACCGATCTTGGCCATCCAAACAAATGATCAATGGTTGTAAATTAATCAATTTAAAATTTTAATTTTTAAAATTTTAATTTTAATTAAGCATTGTGAACATATATG